CTCCTCTATGGAAACAGGAGATTCTTTAAAATGTTCTTTCTCCTCTATGGAAACAGGAGATTCTTTAAAATGTTCTTTATCCTCTATGGAAACAGGAGATTCTCCAAAATGTTTTTCATCCTCTATGGAAACAGGAGATTCTCTAAAATGTTCTTTATCCTCTATGGAAACAGGAGATTCTCTAAAATGTTTTTCATCCTCTATGGAAACAGGAGATTCTCTAAAAAGTTCTTTATCCTCTATGGAAACAGGAGATTCTCTAAAATGTTCTTTATCCTCTATGGAAACAGGAAATTCTCTAAAATGTTTTTCATCCTCTATGGAAACAGGAGATTCTCTAAAATGTTCTTTATCCTCTATAGAAACAGGAAATTCTCTAAAATGTTCTTTATCCTCTATAGAAACAGGAGATTCTCTAAAATGTTCTTTATCCTCTATGGAAACAGGAGATTCTCTAAAATGTTTTTCATCCTCTATGGAAACAGGAGATTCTCTAAAATGTTCTTTATCCTCTATAGAAACAGGAAATTCTCTAAAATGTTCTTTATCCTCTATAGAAACAGGAGATTCTCTAAAATGTTTTTCATCCTCTATGGAAACAGGAGATTCTCTAAAATGTTCTTTATCCAATTTTATTATTTTAGATTCCTGCCAAACGAATGTTGAGCTAGTTCCGCACTAACAATATCATTAAAATAACATTCACATGACACCTACAGATGAAACTACATAGTGCAAAGTCTGTAACTAATCAACATTTCTAAGTTAACCTGTATACCACTTATGAGTCACATTTTCTAGAGACTGTTTAAACAAAACTTGGATAAACACAACTGTACAGTCCGTCATCAGTACAAAGATGGTGATGAGGAAGCAATGGGGTTACATTTTTTATTATTTTTCCTGGACCTCCCAATAAAAATCATTGATTTTTCAGGATTTCCAGTACTGAAAAGCTGCTTACGTAATTCCATGACCTGCAATAACCCTAGGGGTGAAACACCAGAATTACTGGACAAAGATTATTGAAGATAAATTGAATTTAAAATCATGTCAGTATTCTACAGGACGATAAAATATACATTAGGTCATCAAGAAATTAATGTCACATTTTGGAACACTAACTACCCCCCCCAAAAAAAAACATACATCACGTATAATGTGTAAAGTTTAGTATACTCTAATCCCTTATAGTGATGGCACACGATCAGACACACATTCAGCATGTAATGCTGTTTGAATACAAGAAGAGAAACAACGCCCCTGTAGCCACAAAGAATATCAAAGAAGTTTATTGAAATGTTTTTGAACGTTTGTAAGTGTCAACGATGGTTCAGCAAATTTCATTCAGGTGACTTTAGACTTAAAAACTGTGACGGCAGGGGCCGACATGTTGGAATTGATATTGATGCTCTGAAGACGCTTGTTGAGTCTAACCCCAAGCAACACACTTGTGAAATGGCCCTAAAATTGCATGTCTCTCATGAAACAATACGTAAACATCTAAGGAATATGGGAAAACTTCATGAAGAAGGCATTTGGGTGCCTCACAAACTCTCTGATGATCATCGTTTCCAACGTGTGAATGTTGCTTCATCTTTTCTGGTGCGTAAGAACCATTTTTGGACATAATTGCCATCTGTGATGAAAAACTGATTCTCTATGCAAATATTAAATGCCAAAACCTGGACCCCATTTGGTGGAACATCAAAGGAGTAATTCATTTCGAACTTTTCAATCCACAGTGAATTGTCAATGCAGAGATCTATAGTCAGCAACTGGAACGTTTAAATCAAGCCCTTCGCTCGTCAATCGGAAAGGTGTTGTTCTTCTCCACGACAATGCATGTCCACATGTGGCACATTTTACGCAACACATGATTATGTAGTTGGGTTTGGAAATTCTCCAGATATGGCCCCATTAGATTACCATCTTTTTTGTTCACTGCAACACCATCTTAATGGGAAAACGTATGCAAATGTGGAAGGTGTTAAAGAGGTCATCGACATGTTTTTTGCTTCAAAATCAAGTGATTTCTTTAATCAGGGCATTAACAACCTGACTGTAAGATGGAAAAGCATCATCGATAAGAATGGAGACTTTCATTTAATAAATGTTTTGTTTTGATATATAAGTTGTTCGGGTTTTTTTTTCATCTAAAAAAAAGCGGCATTAATTTCTTGACGACCTAATACACATACACAAGCAACGAACAAAAGATAAACAAAACCTGCAGTAAAGATATTAACAATAAATGGCTAGAAAATCGTTGTCAAGGTTGATCAACCCAAATCAGGTAAAAACTCAAGTTATTGACACATCAGTGTTATATTTTTATACTTTTAAATATAGTTAACATTATTTCATTTTAATTTAAACACATATGCATAAATGTCGCACCTGGATGGCTGCACTTTTATATCACAAAACCTAAATGTTCATAATAGAGACAAACATAACTTTTCCAAAAGACACATCATCGTCTAATTAGATTTTTGGGAGAGAACTAGAGGAAACATATATAGATCTTCTTAGAGTGAATAGTACCTCCAAAATTTATAAAAAAAAATATTATTTGATAAAACTAGATACACCTGGAAAGCAAATGTTTAGTAAATAAGTTGTTTTTATATACAATTTTACTGGAGATGCACTTACTCGTAAATCTTATAAATCAATTCAACACAAATATGTCAACACCTATAAATCTGTTTTGAAAGCTACAAACTTTTTAAAATCGAAAACTAAAAAACAAACAAAAAACAACAACACGTAATGTGAAATAATCCAATGCTTTTCTCTTCACTAAAGAAAAAGGTGTCTTGTGGTGATATCACTTAATTAAAATAAGTGTTACGTGGTGATATCACTTAATTAAAACAGATTTCAAAGCGTGAACAACGTATCAATCAACGGCGCCAAATCTCCTAAAAGTTTGAATTAAACTGAGAAAGGAGGAGCTTGAAGTCTGTTCTGCGATATAAACTGGGAGTTCAAGGAACTTTTGGGTTGTTTACAACCCATTACAAGTCAAAACAGCTGAGAGACGTTATTTTCAAGTTTTTTGGGAAAAAGAACAGCGACAAGGCAGGATTAGTAGATGCCGACAAACTATAAAGGGTGTTGGAGTAATACTTTTATACAAAATTGCTCACATTTATCAACAGAATCAGAAGTTAGCGAACTATATCAAGCTCTACAGGGAAAGAAGGGAGGTATCTAGGGAGTGATAACATCAGCCACAGCGTTCTTGATTTTGTAAGTCTTAACTGAAAATAAAACAAGGTTTTGTTT